ACTTTTTAGAAATTCTGACAAATCCAAAAAGTTTGCAATTATTTTTCTTGTAACTGTTCATCAAAAGACAAACTCTGCAATGGCATCAGTGCTATTCATTGTCTAGTCCTTCTGCTGCTTCACCCATACCAGCTTCTAGTATTGCAGATCTTTGAATTTATCGAAGCTTCATACTCAGGTTGCCCTAGATGCCCTATTTTACAGCGTCAAAGAGAAGAAGAGAATATACAATACAGGAGAGGTATCTAAGTACAGAGAACCTCAGTAACTAAACCTTCGTTCTGTCTCAAACAGCATGTTATTAATTCAAATTTATTAGAGTTAGTTTATTAGTTTTATAGGCCTGTAGTACAGGCGTGTGAGGTAATTCAAGCCTTGATAGTAGTTCAATTTAGGGTCGTCATCAGTGTTTTTGTAATCATTTCATGCTTTTATTTTATACCATATTTTAAAAATGGTATAAAATAAAGTTTCCAATATTTTGACTGTTTGAGTTTTTCTTTATTTTACTACTTTCTACATTGTAGATACATACTGAAGATATTAAATATATGAAGCAAAATATATGGAATTATGTAGCAAAGAAAAAAATTATTAAATAACTCTAAATATGTCTTATATTTTAGATTCCTCAAAGTAGCCACCCTTTGCTTTGTTCACAAACCCTCGGCCTTCTCTCAATGGGCTTCATAATGCAGTCACCTGAAATGGTTTTCACTTCACAGGTGTGCCTGTCAGGGTTCATTTGTGGAATTTCTTTCCTTCTTTATGGGGTTAGGACCATCAGTTGTGTGGCCAGAAGCCTATTTGACAACTGTTAGAATTCATACTATGGCAAGAACCAATCAGCTAAGTACAGAGAAATGACAGTCTATCATTACCCTAAGAACTGAAGGTCAGTCATCCTGGAAAATTGCTAAAACTTTGAATGTGTCCCCAATGTGTCCCTCGCAAAAACAATCAGGCACTGTGATGAAACTTGCTCACATGAGGAGCGCCCCAGGTAAGGAAGACCAAGAGTCACCTCTGCTGCTGAGTATAAATTAATCCAAGTCACCAGATTTAGAAATGGCAAATTAACAGCAGCTCAGATTACAGCCCAGATAAATGGCACATAGAGTTCCAGTAGCAGTCTTGCTAGGAAACCACTACAAAGGAAAAGCAACAAGCAGAAGAGATTTGTTTGAGCCAAGAGTGGAATGGTCATAAGACCAGTTTCATTTCAATTTATTTATTTATACAGCGCCAAATCACAACAACAGTCACTCAAGGCGCTTTATATTGTAAGGTAGACCCTACAGTAACACATACAGAGAAAAACCCAACAATGGCCCCTTATGAGCAAGCACTTAGGTGACAGTGGGAAGAAAAAACTCCCTTTTAACGGGAAGAAACCTCAGGCAGAACGACGCCCAACTGGGGTGAGAGAAGCAAGACAGGACAAAAGACATGCTGTGGAAGAGAGATTAATAACAAGTATGATTCAGTGCAGAGAGGTCTATTAACACAAATAAATACTCAATGCATCATGGGAATCCCCCAGCAGCCTGCACTTGTTGGAGCATAACTAAGGGAGGATTCAGGGTCACCTGGTCCAGCCCTAACTATATGCCTACATACACAAAATTAGCAGAAAGAAAGAGTAGAAAGAGTCAGAAACAGACAGGGAAACAACACAGAGGGAGACAGATATATGAACAGCCAGAAAGAACACAGTGTTCTTTCATCAGTGGTAATTCATTACTTGTAATTAATTTTGTGTTATTTATGCAATATGGAGTTAATCTGGTATTCTGTGACGCAGTACTCTGCTGTGAATACAGCAGAGTACTGTAAAAGTTAAAAAAAAGCCCACCTATCTTATCCATATGAATAGATAAAAGTACATAAGGAGAACTTGGGTCCTTCCACTTTTCCATTTTCCTACTTTCCCCCCAAAAAATTAGCTTTTACTTTTTATGACTTGCTCACAGATTTGTTTTAACAAAAACTAATATTTTTTTACATTTATTTCTCTTTTCTATATGGATATGCATATTAACAGATGCCCTTATCTGTTACCGAACTCTTCCTCATTCCCTGCTTTGAAATAAACACAATATAATATATTAGTATATTAGTATATTAGTATATTATATTAGTATAATATATTAATATTAGAACACACACTTAAGATTCAAGAGGCCATCCTTCCAAAACATGATAGCACAAAAAAGAACAAAACTAACCTGTGTAAACGAAATACAAGTAAGCAAAAAACATTAGCTTAATGTTAGTGTTAGATTAATGGGAGCAAGTCAATACGGAGATTCTCATAATTACTTTGAATATGTCCTCATGTTTTGCAGTGTTTATTTCCTCACCTTTAAGCTGCTTATTTTAAATAAAGTGAATGATTAACCCCAGTCTGTGAAAAAAATGAAGTTAAACCATAGCTCAATGTTTTTTATTTAAATAAAAGTGATAAAATCCAGAGCAAGAATGACAGGCCTTGGTCATTTAAATAACACACAAAATTGATTAAAATAATTTAACAGTATTTTGTGAGTCCTATCCTTTTGGTAGGACTCCTGATTTCCCCCTCTGCATTGGGGTGTGCCCCAGGGATCTATCCTTGGGCCATCACTCTTCTGGCTGTGTTTACTCCCTCTTGGCACGATATTTTGAAAACATAAAGTATCTTTTCACTTGTATGCTGATGATTGTCAGCTTTATTTATCTTTTAGCCACCATACTTCTCCCTGTCAATCTTTACTTGACTGTCTCAGTGACGTTAAACTGTGGATGGCAAATAACTTTTTAAATTTTAATGATCATAAAATGGAAGCATTTTTATTTGGCCTGCATCGCTCTATTGTTTCTCCAGATGCAGATTTCAGTGTTTTGACCTACCATCTAAAAAGTTCAATTGTAAATCTTGGTGTGAATTTTGATTCCGCACTTACCTTTGTTG